TGTAATTTTGCTACTGTTATGAATCGTAATGTAAATATCTTTTTGTTTTCCGATGGTCTTAGGCGACCCCTGTGAAAGGGTCATTCGACCCCCAAAGGGGTCACAACCCACAGGTTGAGAACTGCTGCCTGAGAACCACCTGACTCTAGGGAATCAGGTTATCCATTTTATAAATGTTCCCTTTAAAGGTCAGGATTGTTGTTATAGCAGTTAGAATAAGCTCAAAAGAAACTAATGAAATTAGAGAAAATTAAAAAAACAAGGCTATAAAAATAAAATTCTGAAAGTAAGATGGCTTAAATAATCTGACCTTGATAACTCAGAGGCCACCTTTTCATCTATGCAAGACTTACCAAAAGTTTATTGTCTTCCAACTGCAGGCAAGCTAACTCCTCTTATCCATGAATAACTAACTATTCAGCTATTTAAAGATAAATGCTTTGTCCTCCATGCCTCTAGGTGCAGAACTCCAGGACACTGAATTAGTGCTTGCTTAAATGTTTGACCAGATCTAAACCGCTTCCCAAGGAAAATCTAGGACTACCTGCAGGTGTGGGAAGGATCTCACCGTGTCAAATTCTTCCATATTTAAAACCAGTGTTAACCTTACTATCAAACACACATGACAAAGTAATCTACAATTCCAACTTGCCTGCTCTCCTTGCCAAGACCAGCTTGAAATAACAGATAGAGTAACACCTTGGTTTGCGAGCATAATTCGTTCCGGAAACAAACTACTCGTATTGCAAGACATCACTCGTTTACCACATTAAAATGTACTAGAAATGTTTGCTCATCTTGCGGAACACTCACAAACCAAGTTACTCACAATCCAAGGTTTTACTGTATTAGAAAGGGGGAAATCCACAAACACTAACCGTTCAATTCTCTAAGGTTTCCACGGACCAAAAAGTGTGCTTTTGTTATCCATTAGGGAGTAATAATGGAGTATCCTAGGAAGATAACTCTGTCTTCTTTGAAAAACTATTACGGAACATACTGGATGCCATATTATTCTGAATCTGGTGTTTAAAAGTTATTCCTCCGGGGGCCGGCCAAGTGGCTCAGTTGGTTAAGAGTGCAAGCTTTGAGCAACAAGGTCGCTGGTTCGATTCCCACATGGGCCAGTGAGCTGCACCCAAGCCGAACTGCTACTGAGCTGCCAACAGCTGGCAGGATGGCTCAGCTGGTAAAAGCACATGCTCCTCACAACAAGGTTGCTGATTTGATTCCCTACAACTAAGATTGAACACAGCAACTTGAGCTGAGCAGCCGCAAGCTGCCGACAGGCAGCCAGATGGAAAGTGGACTTGAAGCTGAGCTTGCTGCGCCCTCCACAACTAAGATTGATGGACAACAACTTGGCTGTTCCCCTCCCCTAATTCACCATAAAAATCTTAAAAAAAAAAAAAAAAGTTATTTCTCTGAGAGTTTAGTAGTCATAAAATGCTTTGCACACCTATCCACTTTGTCTTGACTATCAGGAAGCTCAAAGCTGAACTGTATGCCCCCCTTCACTGCAGACTCCTCTTTGTGATGGTCTAGAGATGTGTTTTTTATTGAAGCCACCTCAGAATCCTTTTGGAAATGAGCAAGGGTTGTAAATAATTTAATAAATTAGTTTTCTTTGTTCTTACTATTTATTTTTGTCCTCAGCATCAGCCAGCACTCTCCCTTCTCTGTGCTCCTGTGCATGATGCTTACCCAGAACACAGCCCCCATCATTTCTAGCTTCAGTTACTCCCCCAGAGCCTGAGGCTGAATGGCCACTCATTTGGCCCCTAACATACATTTCCAACACTAACTTTTTCATGTGCTTTGTCTTATGTTCCTCAAAGACTGTGAGATCCTAATGGGCAGACAGTACATCTTTATATTCGCAGCAGCATCAAGACAAGCCTTGCCCACTGCAGACACCCAGTGAAGACCTGTTCTGTTAATGGGAGGAGTAAGTGGGCATTTTTGAAAGCCCACTGGGCGAAATCATGTGGAAAGTAACAGGGTGAAAAGGAGGTTTTCATCTTAAAGCAGTTTACAAACCAAACTAAGACACATAAATTACCCATGCAGCCAACAGGAATTGCATATATGTAAATACAAAGCAAGTTCCTGGAATGGCTGTATTTGGCAGGATTAGTCAGAGTATGAAGTATTTTTAGTTGGGTAAAAGGAATAAAACTTGTGAGGACATTCAGTCACAAAATAATGACTCCAATGACAAAGAAGGTGAAAGTATTCAAAGAACATTTCCATGGGTGTAGTAAAGAACTACAAACATCATTAGACAATGATGTCTTTGGGGAAGGCTGGCAGAGGGCCTAGAGGCAGCAATGCAAAGCCAGGGCCTGGTTTTTTAAGGTGATTTAACAAGGTAAAAACTTTGGAAAATGATGTGCAACTACTGTGTCAAGAATACATAAGAGAGAAAGCTAGAATATGAAGTCTGACAGTAAATACTAGAGATGCATTCATTCTCAAGTGGGAATTTAGGACCACCCATTTAAAAGCCCATCTTGGCACAATTGCCATGATAGTCCTAGAGCCAGAGCAGTGGTTTCTACTTCACCTTCTTGAATCTGAGACCTCTTCTTGGAGTACAACAATCTCAATCAATCTCTCTCTCTCTCTCCCTCTCTCTCCCTTCACCCCCCAACACCTCCCAAACATGCAGACAGCTGTAATTTAATGTGTGTAGCTTATCACAAGGATAGTGAAACAAAATGGCTTAGAGCAACTACTCAGTTCAATTCTCAGCTCTGACACTCATTAGGTGTGCACTCTCTCAGGGAACATATTTAACCTTACTTATCCAGATGTAAGATGGGAATAAAAACTGTACCTGCCTCATAGGCAGAGATATATAAAATGTTTAGCAGAATGAGTAGCTCAGTAAGCTCTCACTCAGTGTTTTTTTGTTTTCTGGTTTTTTTTTAAGGAGGGCGCCGTTCACAGTGGCCCATATGGGGATTGAACTGGCAACCTTGGCATTATTAGCACCACACTCTAACCAACTGAGCTAACCAGCCATCCCTCAATGTTATTTTTTAACGTACAATAAGGTATGAATTTTCTGACCCCTCGTATTAACCTCACAGTCCTCCGGAGATCCTTGAGACCCATGTTGCGATCACTGTCCTAGAAGGTAAATGCAAAGCAGAGCAGTAAGTTCCATCAGCAAGGATTCATGTGACAGCTACAGAGTTTAAAACTGCGCCAGGGGCTATAAAAGCCCATACAACACCCCAAAAGTAAGCGGATGGTGTGGAGGGTGGGTGTTGGAAGGGAGTGGGAAACAGTGGTGCAGAGGCTAAAAGGAGACTGAAATTCAAGCAGGAGTTTAAAGTTGGAAATGATATGAGGAGCCAAGAACATCTGGTCAGGGAGTAGCATGCTGAAAATGTGCTTAAGGGAGGGGGGGAGTTGGCACAGCCCTCCCTCACCACTCAGTACCAACCAAATGGCTGCACTCAAAGCTCTAAATAAGGGTCCATTTCTAACTTGCATTCATACTGCTGGTCACCTAAGTTGGTATAAGCCATACCAATAGTAACAACTTAATTAATTTCTTCATGATATTAAAAAAAAACTTTACCTTCAAGATCTCATGGAAGCTTAGTAAACATTTGCGCTTCTGATCCAGTCTATGAAATTGGAAAAAGGGAACCATCTGCAGAAGAGTCCTCAGTATTAGAAAAGGATAGACAGTATGTAGGCCCTTGCCTGAATTTAAGGGTTCTCTTCCTCAACCTCAGATCCTTGACCTAATTACCTCTCCTTTTTTCAAACACTTGTTTATTGTAATTACCTTAAACAAACTAAGATGCATAAATAACAAAAAATTAATCAGGTATCCAGTAGTTAAAGTTCTCTGATCTTTTTTGGCTCTATATCTGGCCAATTTCAATTTTTTTTCTAATGCTAGAAAGCTTTGAGAACAAAGTTTGAATCCTAACTGGACACTTCCTACTTGTTTGACTTCAGGCAAATCAAACTCCCATACTACAGTTTCCACATCTGTAAAGAGGGGATACCCCCTCAACAAATAGTTGTAAAAACTAAATGAGTTAATATTAGGTGATTGAAATATAAGCACAATATGTGTTAGCTATTATCATCACCTTTATTTCAGAGTGACATTGGCCACCACCAGATCTCCAGGAGCACAGATATCACATTTTTTCAACTAAAATAAGTGGGCAAAATTATTTGATTGCCACTGAATCAAAAACAGCACAGCTTGATAAGACACAGTGGTGGGCCCCTACCTGTTGCAACACTTTTAAAAGACGACTGTCACAAACTAGCCATGCTTTCAGGACCTCACTCAAGGAACTCATTTCTCTGGAACTGGAACCCTAGCATGTGTGAACATGAATTTCAGAAGATCATGAAATTAAAAAAAAAGTTTTTGTGAGGTGTGTTTTTTAAAAAAAAAAAAAAAAAAAAAAAGCATTTCCTGGTGTGTGACCACAGCACTACTTTGTTTTTTTCTCTTCTGTATCTGGAAATCTGCTGAGGTGGAACCAAAAGCACGGAACTCCCTTCCCTGTCTCTTAAGCATTAGTAGGTAAAGCGGCCCTTATGCGGAGATAAAGCCAGGTGACTCCACACACACATTCACAGATAAACAGTCCCTTCGCTCCCCAACACTAGGCACTAGGATCCGCAAAGAACTAAATTCCAAGTGCACCCTAGAGAGCTTGGAGAAACATAGGCTCCAGTTGCCTGTCGGTCAGGTGAGAGGGGATAGTCTTCCTTGCAGAATACACGCTCCCTTGCAGAATACACGCTCCCACGCCCCAGGGGAAGACCAGAAACATTCAATGCATTGAGCACACTCCCCACAAGCTACTTCTTGTCTCCGACCTCTCGGGCAGCAGACGCCTTCCGGGACGCCCAGAAGGCTGTTCCTGGAAACAGAGGCTGCACCAAGCGCGGGGAGAAGTACACACGTGCCCCGGCAGCGGCAGGCCGGGCTCGGCCCCCCTCTCCGCACTCACCTGGCCTGTGATGCCAGTGATGAGAGCCACCTTCCTGGGCTTGCCCATCTCGCCGTCCCCGGAGCCCCGGGCGCTAGGGCAGCGTGCCTGCGCGTGTGCCATGTCCCGTGGGTGTGCGACGGAGGGCAGTGTGGAGCGGAGGCGAGCGGAGCTGAGGCAGCAGCGCCGGAGGGACGTGGGGGGTGTGCCGCGCACAAGCCGCTTCTCCCGGGCTGCAGGGAAAGAGCGCACCGCGCGGCGGGCCGGGTGGGGAGGGCGGGGGGCGGGCCGAGGCGGGCCCGGCTGTGGAGTGGCTGGGCTGCGCCCCAGCGGACGCCGCGTCACACGTCAGCCCGTGACGCTCCCGCGGCGCCTGCGACAGGCCCCGCCCCCATAGACGGCCGTGCGGGCGGGGCGGGGCGGGGCGTAGGAGGCGCGGGCCTCGTAGCTGCGCTCCGCAGCCTCTGGCTGGGGCTAAAGACGCAGCCTCAGGAAACGGAGTGGTACCGGTGCTTCGCTTCGGGCGTGTCCCTTGGCAAGGCTAGAGAGTGGAGGGGGCGGGCCATCGGCGGCCTGAACTTCACCATCTTACTCTCCACAGAACCCCCGTGTCCTCTCCCTCACCCTTCTGAATCTCCCAGGAATCCTAATAGTACCCGAGGATGCTGGCAGGAACCATAGGCCGACCTTTCCATTAGGAAAAAGCCCTGAATTCCAAATCTGTGCATCACTGGGCCTCAGTCAAAGGCTTTGATAAATAATTTATGGAAACCTATGATAGTGCTTTTTGAGGAGTCTGGTTTTATGTTTCTTGAAGGGCACTAGCATTACAAGGCCCCTGAATGGGATCGCAGTTGTGGGTCATAACTAACCTCCCTCTAGCCTGGCTTTCTGGCTCTTTTCACATTTCCCTGAGGCTTGCAACCAGGCACGAGGTTCCAAGTAACTGGGCTCAAAATCTAGTTCAGAAAGTCTCTGGCCCCACCCATGTGCACAATAAGGAAATGTTGAAAAAACTACACGGGTCAATAAACCGGATCCTGGTTAACTTCAAACAAAGTAATTCAAATGCAAGGTGGGGTCCTAGTTTGATGACTGTGAAATCTGGCGTGCATGTAGTGACTGCACACGGGGCAGTGAAAGGAGATGAGTGAGGTAACTCAGAAATTGAGAGGATAGCAGGTCCGTGTACCTAAGCAGCAGACTAGAATCCAGTGAGGAGACAGAAACCTCTGCCTTCACTGCTCTGTTGATCTGTACATATTCCCATATTCTCCCCAACAGATCCCCTGAGATCATCACCTTAAATCACAAATTAACTAGGAGAGTGCCCAATCTAATACTCAAGATGTGTTCCAGACCTCAAATCCCCAAATCAGAAAAGCTCAGGATTAAATTAAAAACCTCTGTCCCCTAAGCCCCTCAAGAATACTCTTTAGCTTTATAGATAGGTTTGTCTTTGGTTTCACACCTTGCCCCTGCTGTGTCCATTCTATACAGAGAATGACAGTAAGTGTTACAGGAAGTAGCAGAAGGCTGCCTCTGAGTGGTGAATGAAAAACCCTAATGCAGAGGAGAGTAAACGCTTTCATTTAGGGCAACTCACTCTAAGCAAGAAATGTCTTTGAAATCTAATAGATTAATAACATGTTTTATTGGATATAAATATGCTTTGAATTAATTTGCAGATAAATTACTCAACATTTTCCCTAAAATCACTGAAAAAAATGGATACTCAGGGAGGATATGCCAGTTTATCCTGAAGCTATGAGACTTCCTATCACACTACTGAATACTGGACATATTAATATTTGCCTGTCTAGTAGTAAGTATGATAGTAGAAGACCTATGAAGAGAAAATCAATAATATTGTAGGGCCTATAAATAAAATCATTACAAAACATTGAGAGAAATGGTAGTTCAGAGATATAGTGGAAGGTTGACAAATGAAGAAGACTTATGTAGAAAATTCTCTGAAGAAAGGTATAGGACAGTATACTGGTTTGCTAGGGCTGTCATAACAAAATACATACTTGGAGGTTTAAACAACAGAAATTTATTTTCTCACAGTTCTGGAGACTGAAAGTCCAAGATCAGGGTTGGTTCCTTCTGCAGCCTCTCTTCATGTCTTATAGATGGCGATCTTCATGTTCACATGGCATTCTCTAATGTGCCTGTGTCTACATTTCCTCTTCTTATAAGGACACCAGTCATACCTGGTTATGGCCCACCCAATATCCTCATGTTAACTTAATTACCTCTTTAAATGCCCTCTCCAAATAGTCACATTCTGGGTTACTGAGGGTTAGAACTTTAACATATGAATTTGGGGGGCAAGGGGGGCACAAAGAGAGGTTTTTCTTGTTTTGCTTCTTTGGCTGGGGTGGGGAGGGTGCAGAAGGAAGGCTAGCTTAAATATGATGCCAACTATGAAGACAAGGGCAAGGCCACAAACTCGAAGTTCTCTAAATGAATAAAAGCCTACTGTATTAGCTCAGGCTGCTAAAACAAAATACCATAGACTAGGTGGCTTAAACAACAGAAATGTATTTCTCACAGTTCTGAGTGCCGAGAATCCTAAGGTCAAGGTGCTGGCCAATTTGGTTCCTGGTGAGAACTCTCTTCCTGGCTTGCAAACGGCCATCTTCTTGCTGTATTCTCACATGGTGAAGAGACATGTCTCTCGTGTTTCCTCTTATAAGGTCAATTATCCCATCATGAAGTCTTCAACCTCATGATCTAATTACCTCCAGGCCCCCATCTCCAAATACCATCACATTTCAGGGTAGGGCTTCACCATGTGAATCTTCGGAGGATATGATTCAGTCCATGCATTAACCATTTTATACAATGCTTAATATGTTGAATAAGTTTTTTTCACATCTTTGTTTCCCATTTATTGACATTGAGTAGATGCCAGTTATTCAAGAATTATGCTTCTGCTTTTCCTTCCAAATTTTCTCTCCTTTTTAAATCTTTCTTTCCTTTGCTTTTCAGTTATGAAACATTTGCTAATCTTCTTTCACTGTACCTCAGATTGGAAAACCAATGATAATCTGGTTTTGAGTTAGCATGTATTGAGTGAGCATGTAAAATGTGCTATATTTCATTTAATTCTGTGAGGAAAGTATGCTAATGATCCCTATTTTATAGAAATTGAGAATCAGAAAGGTTAGTAAACTTGCCCAAGGTCACATAGCTAGTGACTTGTTATGGTAGATGTTATGATTGGCTTTTTTATTTGGAAAAATTGAAGTGCTAGAATCCACATTTCCCAAATCATTTTGCAGTTAATGTTTTGCAAATTAAGTTCTGCCAGTCAGTCATGTTCCTGGATCTGGCAGGTGGAAGTGAAACAGAAGCCACCTTTCCCCTTCTTGTCAGACTGACCTGAGAGTTTTTGGCAACTCGACTTGAAATTTGGGTCTAATTACAAGTTTCATGAGTGCAGAGCTATTATTACTGAGTAGTAGTCCATGGGATGGTGGCAGCAGCAGCTTCCTAATGGCTGGTTTAGAGGTGTGCCTTTGACATCAGCAGCGAAGGCTTCTGTTCCTCCATCCCTTACAAAGATTTTTTTAACTGAAGTTTTTATTAAGATAATTGTAGGATTCAAATGTATTCGTAAGAAATAATACAGTGACATCCTATGTACTCTTTAACCCAATTTCACCCATGGTCACATCCTCAAAAACTATGGTGTACTATCACAAGCAGGTATTGACACTGATACAATTCACCGATCTTATTCTGGCTTCCCCAGTTTTACTTGTACTCACTAGTGCATGTGTGCCTGTGGCTACTTCTGTACTCTTTTATCACATGCGTATGTTTGTTCATCTACTACCAAAGTGAAAATACCAAATAGTTTCGACAACACCAGAATGACTCATGTTGCCCTTGTATAACCCCACACCGAGCCCCTGGAAATCACTAATCTGTCCTCCACTTCTAAAGTGTTGTCACTTCAAAAAGTGTTATAAATGGAATCATACAGCTTGCACTCTTTTGGAACTGGCTTTTTTCACTCAGCTTAGTTTCCTGGAGATCCACCCAAGTTATGTATATCAATAGTGTGTTCCTTTTTATTGTTGCATAGTTTTCCATTGTGTGGATGTACCATAGTTTGTTTAGCCATTCACCCACTGAAAGATATCTGGGCTATTTCCAGTTTGGGGCTGCTACAAATAAAGCTGCTGTGAACATTCATATAAAGGTTTTGTGTGCATACAGTTTTCATTTTGCCCAAGAGTACATTCACTCAGCCATATGGTAATTGCATGTTTAGTTTTTTTGAAAGCTTCTAAATTGTTTTTTTGAAAAGAGTTTGTAAACAGGGGCCGGCCGAGTGGCTCAGTTGGTTAAGAGTGCAAGCTCTGAGCAACAGGGTCACTGGTTCAATTCCCACATGGGCCAGTGAGCTGTGCCCGAACTGAGCTGCTGCTGACCTGCCAACAGGTGGCAGGATGGCTCAGCTGGTGATAGCACATGCTCCAAACAACAAGGTTGCCGGTTCAACTCCCACATGGGATGGTGGGCTACACCCACCCTCAGCTAAGATTGAACACAGAATTTTGAGCTGAGCTGCCCTGAACTGCCAACGGGCAGCCGGATACCTAAGTGGTTAGAGCATGCGCTCTTAGCAACAAGGTTGCTGGTTCGACTCTCACATGGGATGCATGGGATGGTGAGCTATGCCTACCCGCAACTAAAATTGAACACGACACCTTGAGCTGAGCAGCCATGAGCTGCCAACAGGCGGCCAGATAGCAACTGGACTTGGAGCTGACCTAGCTGTGCCCTCCACAACTAAGATTCAAGGAGAACTTGGCTGTTCCCCTTCCCCAATTCCCCAATAAAATCTTTAAAAAATAATAAGTTTGTAAACAGGATTTCTTTCACTAAATCCCTTTTTACTTGAAATGCCTGCAGTGGTTTCTGTGTCTCACTCAAAATTCTGACTGGGCAGTATAGACAAGACACAAACTCCAAAATCAGGGCTGTTAACCAAGATTGGAAGACCAATGAAATGGTTATTTGTGTGTGTGAGTATGATTGACAGAGAAGCGTTGTAGCAAAGAAAACATACAGGGGAGAAGTAGAGACCATTTTCTTTTTACCTTCCCTCCTCTTCAGGGTTTATACAAGTTTTCCAATTTAGGATATAATCAGGAAAGACGTGGTAAATTTTTAAGTAAAATCTTATAAAACACAACTCTATTGGAGATGAGACAACTTAGATCCCTGCTTTTCCATTATG